TTCCCAATCTCTTCCAAACCTGAACCGCCCTCCTTTAGGAGTCGCAAGACACCTCCCAAGCACAGAGCGCCACACCCAAGCTTCACCTTTACATGTACCTTCGAAAATCTCTAATCGGCTAGGGTTTTGGGCAGCAACAGAACAGCATCGCTTCTTGGCAATATCCAACTAGATTTAAACTCTCCAAACCCTCTACCAACTAGACCAGAGATCCTCTGTACCATAGAGAATTTATCTCTTCATACACTCTCTTAATCTAAGGGTGTATGGGAAAAGAAGAAAGAAAAAAAAGGAGGAAATAGACCTGCTCTGATACCAAGATTCAAATCAGTCCTCAAATATTAGGTGTAAATTTGAAGATTAGAAGAAAAAGGAAGAAGAGAAGTAAGAGCAGCAACAAAAGAGAAGAAGATGGCGAAAAGAGAAGGAAGAAGAAGAAGTATCGAATTATCTTCCCTTTCTCCTCTAATCCCTTTTTTTATTAAGAATTAAAGTTAGAGTAATGACAAGTATGCCCTTAAGTGGGCGGCCAGCTAGGCAGTAACATAAAGAGATTAAACAAAAAAGAAATAACAGGCCCATTAAGAGAGGCCCATTAGCTAACAATAAAAGAAAAGATATTACAAGAGAAGATACTAGGACCCCTTCAGCCTAGTCTCTTTACAGGAAGCAGAAGCTGTTGTTTATGTTTCAGAATAAAGATGCAGCATATTGGGTGTTGAACTTTAAGGCGAGCAAAAAGTTCTTGTGGTTTACACTTAAGGAGGTGGTTCCAGCAGCAGGGGCGACCAACAGTGGTCGGAGGAGAAGAACAGTTTGGATTGGAGTTTTGGGAATTCCTCTTCATGTTTGGTGCTTGCATACATTTAGGGCAGTTGGAAACTGCTGTGGAAAGCTTCTGAAACTTGACAACAGGAATAGGATTTGGGAGAAGATTGATGTAGTGAGAATGTTGATTGAGGTTTACGATTTGAATAGTATCCCAACAGTAATCGAGTTTGAGTTTGCAGGGGAGATTTATGATTTGAGAGTTATAGTAGAAGGGGAAGATTTGATGTCTCTGCATTCACCTGATGAGAGAGAAAGTGGACTTGTGCAGATTTGGACAGAGGAGCAATGGAGGTCGAGTTGTAGGGGAACATTGTAGAGGGGAAGGAGAAGATGGAAGGTTGGTTTAGGGAAGAAGACAATGAGCTGGAGGGCAATCAGGTAATTTCGATGCCTGATGTTTCAAGGGGCTTGAGAAGTTGAAAGGTCAGGTGAAGGAGTCAAGGGACAAAAGAGTAATTGTTGAGGCAGATGGTGTTAAGGTGGCAAAGGTTTGTAGTCACCAAGTGGAGGGAGAATTGTTTTTTGGAAAAGGAAAGGGTGTTGACCCAGGTGTCTAAGCTAGTAAGGTTATCGAAAAGGGGGTTTGATTTCAATAAAGGAGAAGAGGGAACCACATTTGTTTTGAGAGAAGAAGGTGGAAAGGCAACAATTGTATCTAGGGTTGAAAATAAGTTAAGTGGGGACCACTTCCTTAAGAAAAGTGATCTAAAAAGAGGAAGCCGGTGGAGTTGTCTAAGAGTTAAAAAGCAAGCTGGGCATGATTGACATCTGTGCTCAGCTTGAGGGGGAGTGTAGAGAGACTAGGCCGAATGGGCCCTAGTATCTGTTTTTATGTTTAAGTAGTATGTTTTTTATTTTGTATGTTAATGGGCCTGTTAACCTCTTTTATAAGTTCTTTCAAGTTCTTGCTTAGCTGGCTGCTGTATTCCTCTTTCTCTCTTCTTATTCTATTCTGCTGAATTCCTCTTTCTCTCTCATTCTTTTCTACTTTAATCAAGTTCTTTATATCAGATTTACTTCTCTCTACATTTGTCTTATTGGGAAAAAGGAAAAATAAATTGATTGATTGTTTATTCAACAACATTTGAAGTAGGGTTTTCTATCCATGATCGTAAGAATTTGAAGTAGGGTTTTCAATGCCAGCTGCAAACCTGATACAACCCTCCATCTGGGATTGAGGTTCACAATTAAGGCAAGCTCAAAAATGGTAGAAGAACAAATTGGCACCGTTCATTCCTGTTATGTAATGTTTCACTACCAGAGTAAAAGCGAAAGGAAGGCACTAACAAGATAACCTCCTTAGAGTCTTAGACAGCCAATCTTCATTCCTGTTATGTAATGTTTCACCACCAGAACAAAAGCGAAGGGAAGGCATCAACAAGACAAACTCCTTGGAGTCTTTTTTGATGAATCAACCTCCTTAGAGTCTTAGACAACCTAATATAAGCCCCCCCCCCCTCCCTTGCTTTAAAAACAGTAAACAGCATATAAACCATACTTTACACCACTTGAATTTCATGCTCGTCTATCTTATGAGTGCAAACAGAAATGCTTCTAATGCTCGATCCTTCACAATTAGGGCCATCTATCTTGGTCCTACCCACCAAAATTTAGAACCTTTAGTTGGCAATTGTTCGTAAGTGATCAAACATAGGTGATATGCTCTAGTTCCACAGAAAGACTTTTTCGTTCTCCTGCTACTAAGGCTTAGGAAAACTTTTGAACCTTAGTTTAATTCTAGATGGTTACCACCATCTAATGTATATTCTGGCATCAATTTCCTTCAAGAACTGAAAGGGGAAAGGTAATGTGGAGGTGCAAGAAGAGAAGCAATTCCATGGAGTATTTGAGAGAGGGAATGCTAGAATATTTTATAAGGAAAAAGCATAAACAGAAGTCACGACTTGGTTAGTTGCAATAAGGGTAGAACCGTAGAACATTGAGTATGGGAATTTAGAGGAATGCCTATTGACAATCATCAAGGGTTTGTGACCCTATAACAGATTCAGTAGCCTTTCATTAAGGAAACATTGCCCTCCCAGAGTTGGGGGTACTTTCATAGTCTCAACAGTAGAATTGCTAACTACATTCTCAAATCCATCCGGGAAAAGATAGACTTGCAATAAAGATTCCAACATTATTGCAAGGCCTTGAATTAGGCTATTCTCTTGATCTACAGAGACCACAAGTGGCAGAGAACTTTATGGCAGTGATAAGGTGGGCGAGGAACCAATCAGACAAGTCATGGACTCTTAAGACACTACACACAGAAAGGGGTCCAGAAGTAGATGGGTTTCGGTTTGGAGGCTAGAAACCAGAATGAACAGCTCACTAAGATAGGTTTGGAGGTTAGCTAACACCCCTAGCAGATGGTCCAACTAGAGAAAGGGCAGAGGAGGAAGTTGGGATCCACAAGTCAAGGAATGGTCAGGACTCCAGAAAGGGCAAAAAGCATTGTGATAAAGAGTGGTTCTTTGGATTCTCTAAAGATGATGGGATCGAAGCTGTTACATCAAGGTTAATGCTTTGAGCTTGTTGGCTCCTAAAGCCAATTCCCAGTTTTTAGGTTGGATTGGGCAGTGCCACAGTGGATATTTTGTGTTCACTTCTTTTGGGCCTGCCTAGGGCTCTTTTGCACTTTTCTGGGGTTGGGATGTTGCTTTTCTGGGACAGTGCTACATGTGCATTGGGCCATGTAGGTGAAACTGTTTTCTACATGGTATTTCCTTCTTAATAAATTTAAGTTATGATCAGGAAAAAATGGGCATGATATGGTATCTGTACTACCTTTATTTTCTAAAGGGGATAGTCAGCCATCGGCCATAGGTCTTCTTTCTATTCCAAGAGAAGAAGGGTTTTAGTCTTAACGTATTATCACCAATTAACTCTTTCGATCTTATAACTGAAAATAAATAAATAAACAAACTGGGCGCACATCTGGTCGCTATGACACAAAAACTACTGGTTTTATTAAGTGGAAGGGGACTACCAGGTGGTTATTTCCTGGAGAAATTTTCACAGCCAAACTAGTTGGGTTTACAAACACAAAGATCAGGGAAATTGAAAGCTTAACAAGGGAATTAAGTGTTACTTTTAAATGGGTGAAAAGAACTGCAAATGCCATGGAAGATGCATTAGCTGAACAGGAGGCAAATAGGCAGCAATTATTTTGGGCTAAATTGCAAGGCTGGGCTTGGGGACTGCAGTCTAGCTGTTTTTGGATAATCCTATGAAAGTGGGAAACTTACCCACAGAATTGTAACCTCGAGTTTAATAAAATTTACCTTTGCTGATAAAAAAAAAAAGCTACTGGTTTTATTTCTGATATGGAAAACAAATTTAACTGGGGGGGGGGAAGAACACTATACAAAATGCAATTGATTAAGTACCTGTTTCCGAGTTCTTCCATCAGCAAATGTAACTGAAATGTTACATGGTGGTTTGAAAGCTCCAATAAGATAATTCTAGAAAAATAAATGCTCAAGTATTAGATGATTCAATTTCAGGGTCTCATAAAGATGTTGGTAACAACACCAAACTGCAAGTCTATGATTTCTCTGGTTATTATGAAATCTCACCATGATTTTACAAACAAATCCTAGCCCAAGGCTTCATCAGATAAATCACCTACAAACATAAACACAGCCAAAAGTCAATATCAAGTTCAAATTGCTCTTGAAAAATAACTGATCCATACAACTGAACAACTTCTAAACCAGGATCAAGTAATGCAACCAGAAGATTCGAATAGTCCTCTTAGTCATTCACTGCCCAATACAATACAAACTCCATAGCCATGATTGACAATGCAACATGATAACTAAAGAAATTCAGACTTGACCTCATCTATGAACATCTAGATCACACTTACAAACAGAAAAAGACCCAGGGCATTTTCCTTACAGGCCACTGTAGATAAACTTCAAAACCTTTGGTACAGACTACCCTACCCTATGCATGGTATTGTGTTGTGATAGAATACCTCCTTTTCCTCTTAAATATTTATTATTAAAGTACTTACATATTGTGGTGAAATAAAATAGTCGTGCCAGAGAATGAAATTTAACTGCAACTAGCAATGGCAAGAAAAGACCTAGAATATATACAGAGACTCACTCAGTGGTATTAAGCTGGAAGAGCACAAGAATCTCAAGCATATCAATGAACATGCAAACGGGGAGTTGTTGAGAGGCAGCAGAAGCACTAAAAGTTACATCTTTTTATAGTAATGTCAAAATTTTATAAAAGAAAAGAAATACATAGGAGATGAATAAGATAAACGGAAGAAGGAAAAAAAGGAAAGGAAAAGACCTCTAAAAGGAACAAAGAGTGGAAGAAAATGACCATACCCCAGCTCTAATGCCTTATACATTAAGCATTATACAAAATCAACCCCCTAAACATACTGAAAACTGAAGCCAAAAATGATATTTACAGCCTCCCATGAAAGGAAACCTCCTACTATGATGCTAACCAGAAGCAAATCAAATGCTCCAACCAGAGAAAAGAACCAGACCTCAAAACACCCCAAAGAACAAAATGCATCCAAGTGTCCAACCTCCATCCTGTTAAGTCACTAGAGACTCTTCACTTCTTAACCCCTCTCGTTATTGTGCTTGCCAACTTACTTCACTCAAATTTCCTCACCCCGGGATGTCAGTCTCTCTGCAACCTCTCCCCCTGATAAGGATAGGTTCCACCACATCCCAATAGAGAAATTTACTCCCTTCTGAAGCAACCTCCTCAGGATTCAGCATTGGCATGATCTCACCAAACTGCTCTGTCTTCTTTCCATCTTATTTAGTAGCTTGCTCCCTCTAGCTCCCTAAAATTAAATGCACATACACTTCACATACAAAGAACAACATCCCCAAGGATTTTGTTACCTTAACTCCATGTTGCAGAATCCAGAATCTGCTTCACTAGTAATTTCTTATTTATCTGAGAAATTTCATCCAGAAGAGGCCCTTTATCCTCAACTCTCTCCAACACCCTTTTCCACCTTATCCAATAATGTGGAAGTTCTATAAGATTTTCCTATAGTTCCTTCACTAATGAGAACCAAATAATGAGACGGAAATCCTCTCATCCTCCAAATCACCAACATCCTAAATATCTCTATATCAAACTTTCCATGACAAACAGCACTATGGACATGAGGTGTCGCCTCTGCTTCACCCATAGCTTCCCTCTTCCAAAAATGAGATTGATGGAATGCAAAATTAAACCTGCCCCTCCCACCAAAACCAAATCCTCCCCCCACACCCTTGTGAAGGAGAATCGACCACCAAACCCTATCCAGAAGAATCCTTAGCTAAAGTAAGAACGAAATTAGCATATTTGAGATTCAGATCCACTTCTTTATGCAACTTGTCACTCCCATCCTCAACACCGCTCAGTTACCATAAGAATAACATAATACTAACATTCAAGTAGCGTATAAATACACACAACAACAGAGGATGAAGTTCTGGACTTCTCAGCAACCTCCTGCAAGGCAAAGGAAAATTAACCCATTCTGTTATTAAGAAAAGGTAAAGTATATTTGTATTTATGAGGTATAAATGGGAGAGACTCTCAATACAGTGAGTGATTGTACATTCTTGAACAACCTCGCAAAAAAATCCAAACAGTGTGAGTGCATCTTTTCAAATATTTTGCAATTTCTTCCCATCCAAATGGTCCAAAGGATGCCAGCTGGAAACAAATGCCACACAAGTCTGCCTCTTCTGTTCAGCCTAACAATATACAAACTGTTAAGGAAGTCATGGGTAGATTTTGGGAAGACCCAACTCAAGTGGAGGCTAGCAAGAAGATGAGCCAAAAGTATGCCTGCTTACATGCCAATGCATAAAGAGATGATCTGCAGTTTCCAATTCATAACTGCAAAGAGAACAGTTGGTGGATGGAAGGTTTATACTTCTTTTGATAAGTTTATCTTTGGTTACACATTTTCCAAGAGAGGCTGTCCAGACCAGGAAGGTCACATTACATGGAACTTTACGCACCCAGACAGATATGTGGGGGGAGTTAATAGGAGCAGATTTGTTATGACTGTACATAGATTTGACTGAGAGACGTCAAGATTTATTCCACCTCCAAACTCTGCCGTCCTCACTGTTACTGTTCAGCTGGTAATTTTGGAGATTACTGAGCAATTCCTCTAACTTCCCAACCTCACAATCTTGAAGATTTCTTCTATGTTTATGGGACCATACACCATTTGATCCAGAACCAGAGAACATTTGTGCCACTGATCTTCCTTGTTTTCTGCAATTTTAACTCAACCCATTCTCTTTCTTCATGATATACTCTAAAGTCGGGAAGAACAATAACTCAATTGAGAATTACAAGCAAATGTTTCCTTGGTTTCTGTCTGTCCAAGTCCCCAAACAAAGTGCAACAGGATAATGTTTTCATGGGGAGTTTGTCCTAGTAAAGGTGCAAAGAGTCAAATAGGCTTCTATAAGATTTTGTGGAAAGTACAAACTACAAAGTGGAGAATGCTTAGAAAACAAAACTGTTGTATGAATGATACCGAGTTGGAAGATAAATGGTGCATGATTGCAATTGACTTGGTTGTAAACGTACAGAACAATATCTTGATAAATCAATGCCCTAAAGTGGAAAATGGGGAGATACTGCCACATTGTCAGATGGTTAGGCATCCATTGTAAAGAAGTTAAGGTGAGCGTTCATCTCATTACTACAGTGTTTTGTGATATTCTCATATTGTCAATAGGAGGTAGGGTATCTGAGTACGCAAAGGATGAGCTAAAGGCAACATGTTCCCAAGCGTTAATTCACCAATCATGGAACTACCTATGTATTCAACCACCTTTGGGCACTCTATTTCAAGGAAGTAAAAATTCAGTGAGTTCCTGTCTTCTTATTCAAAAGACTCCGCGATATTTCTCAGATATTCCTATCGACCAGGCAAATTTCACATTCAATTGGATCAATCGTTTGGAAGGAGAAAACAGTAAATTTTGTAATCTATGAATGCAAAAGAACATCACTAATTTCATGTTTGCAACTAAAATCAATAACTATTGAAAATATATAGCTAAAACAGATAATTGAGAAAGACCATTTCTTCATTTCCTTCAACTCTTTTGAGCTTAGGTACCCATCTCCATTCACCGCGAGCAAACCACATTATAACGGTAAATATATCAATGATTTAACTAAAAAACTCAGTTACACATATTTTGTTGACATGTGATCAACGAAATTGAGAGATCAGTACCCAGGTAGAGCCCAGTCAACAAACTGCTTGTCATCTCAAATTACGAAGAAGCCTTAATCACTAGATCGGCTTATCAGAACAACTACAGAATCCCGACGCAACTCAGAGAGAAAGCGATAGACTCAACAGCAGAGAGAAACGGCTGGCAGGTAATAAAAGAGGGAGCAGCAGAACTTACCGGAGAAGAGGAGTTACCGGCGCCGGCGCCGGCGCGATGGTACTACTTCAATTGCGGTGGAGCAGAACAGAAGTTCAGGAACCAAGGAAAATTCGCCAATGCACCAAATTTTCAATTGAAGTCCTCGCCCCAGTTGTGAAACCGTCGAAGAACATGATTTTTTTTTTTTCTCGAAGATCTAAACATGAAATCTTCCCTTCTGCAAATTGCATCATTAGGACATGAAACGAGTCGGATCTGGACAGGTCCGGAAAAGGTCTGTATCGAGACTCGAGTATTGACTATCGAATGGTAAAAGGGGTTCGAGTGCGGGTTCAAACTCGACCCGGATTCTCGCAACGTGATAGTACCCGGTCCATTTACACATTCAGGTTGGGCCGTGGAGACACGCAATCACGTGGAAACGTCTGAAAGCCCATCATCAACTGCCACTTGTGACGTTTGTCACTTGGTCAATGGATCCAAAAAGTACTATTGTCAGTAGGATCAATCCAACTGTGGGCCATGATTTTCTAGATTTCCAGCTCTAACACGATGGCCATAGCATGATAGCAAATTATGAAAGCCCCAGACCACAGCTACCAGTCCTATGCCTCGGGCGCAGCCCAACGACCCAACTTATTCCTATTCACATCTGCCCCACAGAATGCATCCAAAAAACGTCCCACAACACATTCTCAACCGTGTATTGGAAAATCTCCCAATGCAAAGTACGAATAATGCTCTTAATGCACGCTGAAATGTACATGTAGGGCGTTTTTTATGAGAAAGGCGTTTTGTGAGAGACCGGATCTACTTTTCACACCTGACGCTTCACAGGCGATTCATATACACATCCTACTATGCATTAGGAACATCTCCTATACTTATTAATTATTATTCACGAAAGATATTCTCAATGCATGGTGAATGAGCATGTGAGGCGCCCATTTGCGAGGAAACAGATCCAGTCTCATTTTGCCGGGGCTGATGTGAACTCTTATATTTATAAAAGATTAAAAATTCACAAAAATATTAAAAGGTCAATGTCCAAAGTTTACTAAGGATATGCATTTTAGCCATTGATTTGTAAGCTCTGGACGTTGATTTACATCAATAGATGCCTCCAACCAAATAAGATTCCACTGCAACCAAACGCAGACCGTAACTAGGACGAGATGGGCCGGAATTTTGGCTAATCCGGGAACAGGAATAAATGTCAAACCCCAAGCCTAACAGCGAATTGTGATCGAATTCCATTCAATGTCAAGGCCCACGGCGGAAGACCAAAGCCCATTTAGATGAAAACGAACAAAGTGTGTCAGTGATCTGAAGACTGAAGGAAACAATTCGATAGTTTGAGCAGACAAGGGAAAGTTTGGATAATAGGGGTGTAAACAGACCGAATTCAATTCAAACAGTTGAATATTTAATTTATTTTAAATTCGACCGATTAATTATTTTATGGAATTAATATTTATATAATATAATCTTTTAATTTATGTAAATATATAAATCTATTAATTATTTATGATATTTAAATATTATATATATATGAATTTTATAATGGTCAAAATTTTAATATTAATCGAATCAAATCAAATAATATTCAAATTCGATTCAATTAAGCTGCCCCTTAAAACACCAATCTCATAAAGCAGCAGACCAAGTTCACACTGAATATTTCTGGAAAAAAAAAAAAGAAAACAGTCCAAACAATCACAACCTCAATCAAAAGATAGACCTAAACCTAAAAACTCCCAAAACCACCAACCCAAAATCAAATCAAACAAAAACAAAAAAAAAAAGAAAAAGAAACTGACTCCCAAGAGCTCCAATGCTCATCCCGACAATCTCTTCCCAATCAAAAATGAAGCATAGGCATCAATAGTGGCATACTTAATCTGTTCAGCACTGAGATAGGTAGCATCCCAGTTAGATCGAGTAACACTCGTTGGCTTCTCCACATTAAGCCCAACAACCTCCCGAGCCAACTCAGCCAACCCAGCCCGAGTAAGATGAGGCTTGTTGAGAACCCTTGCAGCCAATGGGCCCAATTCATGGACGGCAGTGTACTCAAAAATAATTCCATAATCCCTCCAAAGCTTGGACACATCTTCTGTGATTCCAACACCAACAAAGTTGACTCCAGGAGAGCAGGCTAGCAAGCGCATGAGTGGGAGAGGAATGCAACCCAGGTGACGAAGTTGTATGATGAGGCAGCGAGTGTCAGAACAGAGTTGCAGGATTGAAACCTTGCTGTTGGGAGAGCTTGAGTTCCATTCAATGTCGAGGCCAACAACCGGCCTGGTGTTAGTGTACATGTCGGCAAAAGAAGAATTCATTGTTAACTCAATGAAGCTCCCGAGTGAAGATGCAGTGTTTAAGACTGTGGTCTCAACGCCAACACCTTGGATGTTCACTACGGATGAATACATGCTTGAAGTTGAAGAAGGATCAAAGTATCAAACAAATGGTGGATTGGTGGGGTTTCTTTTTTTTTTCTGGTTTGATTTTTAAACCATAAGAAATGAAACTGGGTGATTGAGTTGTATATATAGGCATTAGTATTAATATTAATTTTCTCGTTAAACTATGCTTGGGTAGTTGGGTTGGTGGGACTCTTTGAGAATTGAGAACTATAAACCACTACTTATAATTCCAAGATAGTCCCTCTCTCTCTCTTGGTCTCGACTAATAGTTCCATTTTCCAATTTTCAAACCTCAAAATTTTCAAATTCAAACAAGTTTTTTTAGCATTGGAAAGTGGAACTAAACGAGAAGATTTCATTGAAATAAATTTGTTACCGATGACTCATTGCTGTGCATCTTGGCTTTGAAAAAAGTAATTGATAAATAGCATTGGGATAAATAAAGGCCACTTTGTTGAGAGGCATAAATGAAGGCCAATTGGGAAAAAACATTGTAGACAATGAGGTTTATTTCAATTTTGACAAATACCGCCTGATTAGTGGGATCAACCATACGTAGGCGTAATGGTTGGAATCTTAACCGCATCAATTGATGCACTATTACTTGTTTATCAGAGTAAGAACATTTTAGCACCTTAGAACTATTTGGGATTTGCTCTTCACAGAATGCACCTCACAGCACATCTCACCATGTATTAGGAACATCTTTCCACGAAAAAGAACATAGAATGGAAATATTCCTGTTCCTGAAGTGCGGTTGGGATGTACTGTGAGATTGGTGTGAGGATAACTCTATGACAAGCAGATCCAGAATCCCCTAGAACAATTCTCTCCACAAGTGAATCCCATGGTTTACGGGCTTATTGCCCATTTGGGAGGACTTTCAGACAGCAATTTCTAGCATTGCAAGGTAGGTTTCACATAGAAAGCCATGAAGCTATGTTTGCTGAAAAATTCTAAAAGCCAAAAACGCATACACACACAAAAACATGTGCATTGAGCTGAGAAATAAACTTTCCATTAAAACTAGTTTTAGTTGCTTCTTCAATAATGACAGTTCATCAATCAACACTCGTTATGGGGCACTATGTGGGGAGAAGGGGTGTCCATGAAAAACCAAAAAATCGAATTGAACCAAAAAAACCGAACTGGAAAATGCGGTTAATCGAACCAACCGATTTATATTATATGTATATTTTATATATGTCACATATTTTTATATATTATATATAAATATATACATATATTATATTTATAAATATATTATATATCATTCATTATTTATAATATAATAATATACATATATTTATATAATATATATCATAAATATAAGAAAATAAAAAAACTGAAGAATCAAACCAGCCAAAAACCGAAACCAACAGACTGGCTAACTGGTGGTACCGATTTAATTTCAATTTGGAGAAATGAAAAAACCAATAATACCGGTTCAATTTACAAAAATTGCCCATAATTTGATTAACTGAAGTGTAAGACACCCCTAGTGGGACCATTCAAACTCTTTAAATGGACACTTAGTAGTCCTGTCTCAAAATGAATTACCATTCAAGTACCTATACCTCTACCTCGAAGGACTATGGCCCATTTTGACGATGGGTTCTCATAGAAACGCCAAAGCAGTAAAACAATTACAGCCATATTGATTGTAGAGAGATCCTGATGCAAAGTCCTCTGATCCCATACCCCTAGTTATGTAGTTTTTACATAACTAGGGGTGGCCACGAATTGAGTTTTTCAGGAGCTACTTGAGCTCGGCTCGATTTTGACCGAGCTCGAGCCCAGATTACAGACTCGATTAATAAACAAGCCGAATTCGAGCCTAATAGAGCTCAGCTCGTGAACCGGCTCGAATATATATATATATATATATAATAAAAATATTATAATTCTTACTTTTTAAATATCAAATAAAAAATATTTTGTATATATAATTTTTAATTTTTATCAAATATATTTCTCAAATCAAGCTCGAGTTCAAGATTTTAACCCGAATTTGAGCCTTTACTCCTATGCAAATCAAACTCAAGCCTCATACTATTTGGTTCAACTCGGCTCAGCTCAACCCCTATCCATAACATAGGTACTCAACCACTACAGCTAAATAAAGCTGAAGTTTTCCCAAAGGTACAGCTAAATAAATCCATAACATAGGTACCTCACCTCCAACGAAGAAGCCCTTCCAAATGGGTTCTTCTTCAAAGCCGCTCGGTGAAAACAACTCAATTAAAGCTGAAGTTTTCCCAAAGGGCTCTCTGTAAATCTTAAGCTTTAAAGAAAGTAACACCAAACTTTAACATAATAGACTTTCATCACCAACAAAATTCCACCCAAAGTCCCTCTTTAGTCACTCAACTCCTTACAATTCTTTATCCAATATTTTAGGTATGAATGTGAAACATTATTAATCCTTTGTATACCGAGCTGTCCCTAAACATTCACTCAGGTTGGCTCGGTGCTGATCATGAATATACATAACACAGTAACAACAAAATAGCAATAGTAAGCAAAAGCTACATACAGTTGATCAAGGTTCTAAATATCGATATGTTCGTATCGGATAGTATCGATATTTTTTTTTACTTTTTTTATTTTTTTTTTTCAAATCCAATTCGGGAGAGCCGGTTTAAGATTTCTCTACCCTCTATAAGGGCATATTGAAATGCTCCCGATATGATATATATCAGTCAATACAGATCGATATGTGTTAATTTTTTGAACTTTGCAGCTGACCTTTTACACCCAGCACGCAATGATGATTAATCAAAGTGTCTTGAGTGAAATGGCTGTTATGACTTTTGTTTACTTTTGCTTAATTCTTAGACATAGGGAATGAGATTCAATCTTTTACCATAAATTTATAAATTACATTTGTAATTAGGCCCAGCATGAGCCCAGGCCCTCCATCGGGCACAAAAATTTTCAAGACAAGTATATAGACAATATATTATATATTATGCTATTTATAAATAGTAGTTAGGACTAATGTGATGCATAGGCTTTTTTGTAAGGAATTGAGCTAGAAGGAGTCCTATGTCATTCTCTATTGGGTTAAATCAGATTAAATCCATCATAATCATTATTTTTGTGGTATGTACTGTTTGATAAAGTTGTATTAAATTTCATTAAATATTTATATTTATTTAGGTTGATAATACCAATGTTTTAAAAATCAATTCAAAATTGGAATCATTTTGATCACCGATTTTTGGGTGGGTGGTTCGACTATCTAGTCCAAATTAACAATTCATTGCAAATTAAAAATAATAATTAAAACAAAAATGGCCAAAAACCATTGTTCGGGTAAAACAGATTGATGGTTCGATCACCCGAGTCAGTGAATCGTTGACCAAGTCAATGTTTTTTTGGAAAATGAAAGATTCAGGGGTGAAATGGAATCGGTTGTTTAGAGAATTTTCGGGCCAAATGGTCATTTGAGTCAACAATGGTTCAAAAACATAGATTATACAATATTATGTGTTATATGAAATCTACTTTATACAATACATAATATATAATTTTTCTTTTTTAAAGGAAATATAAAATATTATATATAATATATATTATAGGTATCATATTATAATATTTATACATAAAATATAAAAGATAATATAAACTAATATATCATACACATTATCTATTGAGCGGTTAGTGTCAACCTGTCAAGCTCGGGGTGGGCTAGACAGGTCATGGTTTATAAACTGTCATTAACCTGAAGGATCGAACTGTTGAGCCTAAAAAATTATCTAGACAATCAGTTATGTTTCACTCTTGAACCATTCTTTTGCAAAAATCCGTTGATTTGGTCAGCAACCACTAACCTAGGCAATCAAACCGTCAACCCAAACAATAATTTTCAACTATTTTTACTTTTATTTTTTAAATTGCAATGAATCGTTGATTCAGACCAGATGGTCGAACCACTAACCCAAAAACCAATTGTCAAAACGGTTTTGGTTTGGATTGGTTTTAAGAACATTAGGACAAATACCACCCCACCCTATCCTATCCTTGGTCACTAAATTTGGGTTTCCCTAAACTCAATCAACGATTAAAACAATTGCCCTGATTGGTGCTGGGCAATTTGGAGATCCAATAGAGGTAGGTTAGATTTCCATCTTAACTTGAGTTTTCAAATGCCTTATAAAAAAATACAATTGAACATATGAAAGTCTGATTGGTATCAAGCTGAACCCCTATAGGGTTGGTTTAAGTTCGGAAACTATATATATGCCCATTATGTTGGCTTTGTATTGAAGCATTAGATGGTTGGGTTAGGATGAAGGCAAAACCATACTAAACCCAACTTCTTGTGGTAAAAGCATACCTAATAGTTGGTTGGGGATGAATAGGGTGTCAATGGATCGGTTTTGGGTTGTACTCCGTCCAAATCAAATCTATTTGGATGGATTGGATGGACCAATAAGACATATTGAATTTGGACAGATTGGATGGACCAATATGACATATTGGATTGGACCTGGTCCATCCATAATAAATTTATATTGGATTGAGTTAATATCTGGTCCATTGATAAAAGACAAGAACATAGGTATCAATGGATCAGGTTTGAATTGAAACCAATCCAAATTAATAGGAATTTGAACAGATTGAACAGTCTCTAGACCAGTCCAAAATATTCATTGGACTGGATTGAACAGGTCCATTTGTAATAGACTCATATTGGACTGAATCGGATTAAATCAAATCCAGTCCAATTGACACCCCTAGGAATGAGGGTGTTCATCTAAATATCCTTGCACAGCAAATGAATTATGTATAATTAACGGCTATAATTAAACCCACCTCAGATTTTTTAGCTTTAATGTAAAGTAGAATAAATTTTGACCGTTGGTTGATGTCAAATTGACGGACAGGATGCGCTTTATAGGAGACTAATAATAAATTATGGGGCTGTAATTTCAGAATTTTGCGGTGTACGCAGTAAACTTCTCTATAATTGAAAATAATATACAATGACTAAGTATTTC